CGGCCGGCCCGGCTCGGCCCCAGGGCAGGGCTGCCAAGCCGCCAGGCTCTGTGTGGTGCCCGAGACGGAGCGGGGAAACCCAGCCACGGGCCCTGCGCCCTCCTCGTCTCTCCTCAGGCACGTGGGAGTCACAGGCGGGATGCCTCAACAGCCCCCTCACCCATGTGGCACCACCACCCGCTCCTGCCTAGGGAAACCATTTCACTGCAGCACAGGCCAGGCAGCTCTTGGCCTGCTGCGCACCCGTGGCTGTCTTGGGGATAAGGGCCTTCAAAGGGAAACAAGACTAAATGCGTCTAGTTTTCCTCCTAGGCTGGGTGTAATCACCAAGTGCCTTGGCTGTCCAGGAAGGGCTGTGAAGGGGCAGGAAGGCAAAGTAAACCACTGCCCAAGGTCTGCAGTGGTTCCCTAACTCTGACAGATCACGCACCACACATCAGTGGCGACGCAGAGTGGGGGCACATGCCCCCCTGAGAGCGCTGGTGCCCCCCACCCCTCCCATCAGCCAGCGTTCCCGGGTGAGGGGGGCAGCAAGAGCGCTAGTGCCCCCCCTGAGAGCACCAGCCAGGGAGTGTGCCAGGAGAAGCTGTCCCCCACCGGCTGCCACGGACCCAGAAGTGCCAGCGGCATGCCTGAAAGTGCCAGCAACACGCCGCTGCCAGTTGCAGGTCAGCAGGATCAGCCGCAGGGGAACCCCCCACCCCCAGTCGCTGACTGTCAGGGGGGCAAGTGACTCAGGAGGCACCAGTCGCCCATGCCACCAATTTAAGATGATACAACCTCAAGTACTGCCAGAAATTTTTTCAGGTCAACCTTAAGAACCACCAGCAACTTTCTGGCATATGAAGTAATTATACTAAATGGGTCACTGTGTACCATTGATAGGTTGTCTGCATATACCGCTGGTGGGACCCATACCACAGTTTGGGAACCGCTGTGTTAGGAGAAAGCACCTGTGTCCCCCACTGGTCTGTCTGCCTCCACCACTGTGTGCACAGAACAAAGCATCTCAAATGGTCTTAGCTTTGGTAAAGGTTACCTGACTTTTTTTTTCAACCCTACCGGAGACAGCGTCATTTAGGCCTTTTGGTATGCTTGGTTTTAGCAACGTTGACTTTAATTTTCCTTTTTGCACTTTTATTGACAAGAAGAGGCATTGCACATGTGCATGGCTATATTTACATACCGATGTTCAGATTGCAAACTCAATATGCTCAAAAGCTAGGAAACACCAGAGTTAGGTTTGCCAGCGTGATGTTAGTACGACTGTCACGCGCCTGTGAATTACATTGTAGTCCGTTACTATACAGATACATACTTTTTTTCCAAAGGAAACCTAGCCCTTAATAAAGGACTCCTTGTCTCAGTCCAGCTTTGTTTGTCTGTCCAATTCCAGTTTTGCCACCTCAGTGGGACCCCACTAGAACCCCAGTTCGAATCTCCTTGCCAAATAGGTCTCAGGCTTATTTCTGGAGTTTTCTCATGAGTGTAAACTCATGCACATTCAGTCCCTTTTCACCCAGTTTCAGTCTCTGTGCTCAGCCATTCCTTGTTTCCCCGCTGCCACCCTGGTTCCCTGTCCTCAGACTTTTTGACTTAGCAGTCAAAGTTTTCATCTAAGCCATCTTTCTTCCCCTACCTTAGTCTTCAGTTGTCTTCTACGCTACTAGCCCATGTTCCCTATCCCCATTAACTCCCAATCCCAGACCTCTCCCTGGGATACATCTCTAATCTCTGTCCCCACTCTACTTGGCTCCCAGTGTTTTTACCCAGTCAGATCCACTTCTTCCAGTGTACCCCAGCTTTTCATCAGCTCTCCTTCCCTACTCTTTCTCCCCTGTTCCACAGGTTTCCATGGAATCCCAGTTTCTTTGTTATTTCAGTCTTGGTCTTCCCTTAGTTACAGCTGGAAGAGTACAGCTGGATGGGACCTCAAGAGATTATCTAGTCCATCTGCTCAAGGTAAGATTGTCTCTGTTTAAACCACCTGCAATAGATATTTGTCTAACCTGCACTGAAAGAGTTCCAGTGTCAGAGATTCTGCTTTAGGTAGTTTGCTTCAATATTTGACTCCTCTTCCAGTGACTGAGCTGTCAGCAGGGCCAGACACAGGCATGGGTGAACTGGGCATCCGCCTGGGGCCCAGACAGAAAGGGGACTTGAAAATGGTAGATTTTTTTTCCGTTGTCCAATTATTATTATCATTGTCTTTGGCAAAGGGGGGTCCGATACTAAAAGTTTGCCCGGGGCCACCGGGAGTCTAGGTACATCACTGACTGTCAGACATCTTCCTCCTCCATACTGCCTATTCACAGTGGGGACTGTTGAAAGCATAGAAGAAACAGACTCCATATTTTCATTTCAGGGCCTTAAACCCCATGACCTACTGCAGCCAAGAGGTATAACTTCAGGGGAAATGTTGCCCACCCTTGAGCTTGAACATATCCACTGTAAATGGAATTTTTAGGGAATTTAGCTGTGAAGCTCTAGCTAGTCTACAATGAGTATGTACAAAGTCATCTTTCAAGGTATGTAACTTGACTAAATTTCGGAAGATTGTCATAGGTACGGCCAAAAGCACATGCCTGGCAGAGGCCACCTTCCTGCCAATTTTTAACTCCGTGCTCTAAAGCAGAGGGTGTGAGAATATTTCAAACATCACCTGATATTTTTTTAACATAGGCAAAATATTTCTATATATTGTTCTCAAAAATGGCTGAACCTTTTGATTGAAATTTTCCAAAAATATTCAGCCTGAAGCAGACTTCCAACATGGAGATAAAAGGCTGAATGAACTGAACTGAAAAAGTTGTTTGGTTGTTGTTGATAATGTTATTACTATTATTATTACTACTATTATCATCATCATCATCATCATCAATATTATTATTATTATATTTTAATGAGAAGTGTCAGATGAACATAAAAATAGTCAGTGTTACCAAGTTCACAGGTGATAAATATATGTATGCAGTATTGTTTTATTCAGCAGG